GCACAAAGGCTCCTTTACGTTCCATTTTGGTGATATCAAAGCCCTCCCCGGCCAAATTGGCTCCCGGAGCAAATTCTGCATCGGCGCACTGTTTCAGTGTCCCTTCTATGCACGACTGATACGTGCAGTGAGGGAGGGACAGCAGGAGGCCAGCACAGATCCAGATGTTTACAAGAAACATGCTGCTACTGAGCTGGAAATATTTATTGAAAGCCTGTGTTATTGAAAGCTGAAAAGGAAACAATTTAAGGTGAAAAACAGAGAAGTTAAGCAGTTCTGTAGTATATAGTACGTTCTGTTATTTCTAACTTCTTAAAACAACCTTCTTGTGCTTAAAGTCAATGATGGTTTTCATCTGTCAAATTAAATGCCTAAATATTCATTCTTTTTATTTTGAATACAACTGAAAATTTCAACTTCTGTGGTCTGTATTTATAGCCCCTAGAAGGTGAGCATGAGTCCAAAGACGAAACACAGCACAGCTAACGGTCCGAGATCCATGTTTCAAACGAGGACTCATTAGAGCAGCTGAAGCTCAGCGAAAAGCACAAAGTGATGTATGGGTGAAGGAGATCCAGATGATATGGGGATGCCCATTCATTGACAGCTTTGAAGGTGAGTAGCGAAATCTTGTATTGAGCAGCATTCTTGGTTCTACATTAAAGAATGGGAGCCTGTTAAGCTGAATGAGAATGAGTGCAATATAATCAGTAGATTTGGTTTGTTTTGTATAAATAATAAATTTTTTAACCTGAATATAGATAAAAAAAAAACAGAAGATTTATACAAATATAATCTTTTTAAAAAAGTCTGTACAGAAGGTTATGAAGATATTATTTCAGAATCTACTGAAGGTGTTTTAATGAAGTAGAAAAGAACCAGAAGTTAAAATATTTTGGTTTCAAATTATAATCAGATTTTTAACATCAGATTTGTACCTTAAAAAAAACATTGTTACTTCTTTTTTAAAACAAAGTTGGATAAGAGCTTCAGTAACCCCAGATTTTCAGGCTCACTAATTTGGTCATTAGCCTTAATGCATACTCTAAAGTCGAGACTACTCACCTTCTCTTGTGTGCTTTTGCTTCACAAGTGCATCAGACTGTGAGCATCAGTATTAGTATACCGTTTTAAAGACCAACAAGAAAGACTGAAGATAAATGATGAGGTCATACTGTTGGAAAAAAAAGTAGGGGGCTGGTTTAACAGTTTATAACCACGAAATAAACCTGCTATTTGTCTTGTGTGTTTGTGGACACTGGCCACAGGTGAGAGGAAATGATGCTTCATTTCTTGCAACTGTTTTCCCACGTACAAAAGCTTTATCAAACTAATATCTGCTTGACATTAACTGTGAATACATTTGACACAAGGTAATAGAATAAAATCAGTGTAAAGGTCAAGTGTTAAACAGATATTCAGACAGAAGTGGAACTGAGGGAAACATAAGGAAATTTAAAAAAAAAAAAATGTCACGTTGTTCTTTCCATTGCATTTCTTCAGAAATGAGTCATAGTGAAACCTGGACCACATGATTTGCATCGCATGTGGCCTGCACAGAGGTGGGATTGTAGTTGCTACATGTCACAGGATGGCTGCAGAGGTAAGGGGTGGTGTAAATTGTTCAGATCTTCCACAGTTCTCATTAATGAGAGGTTTACAGGACATCACCTACTCCCTTCGAGTACTCCTCAGAACTCCAAGTTCGTCCTTTATCTTTGTGCAGTAATAATAGCATAGTTGGCCTGATGATGACAGTTCAGCCCTCATATAAAGTTGTCTGACAACTCAGGAGTGCAACACTTGAAACATTTTATAAGACACTGTATGCAAGTACACCTGCTGATCTGTGAAACCACTTTTACATTTCTTGGGTGATTT